TAGAACAGCAGCTGGTCCACCATTAGCCCTTGCCTGTTCCAGCCTCTCTAGCTGCCAGAACCCATCATCTGCAAATAATTCTAGCCTCACAGCATTTCCCTACTCCGAAATTTCCTGAGACCTCTTAGATGCTACCTAAACTGCCAAGCCAGTTTCCCGCCCTTTTCTTTTTCTCTGTTCACTCCCATCTTTCCCCACCTCACTGATTTTTCTTTTTAATATGGTAGCCTCTGCTAGTTTGTACTGATTTCCTTTCCCTTTCCTTTCCAACTCTCCATGTTGTACCCATCATTGGAGTGTGAAACATTACACTACACGGGAGAAATTAAGAAAACTGTTGAGGTGGTTCATCCCATTTTTTCAGGCATCCATCTCACCTCCTCCATATCCATGATTTGCCTTGCATTAGCTATATGACTTTGGCCAAGGGGCCTAACTTCTCTGTACCTTACTTATTGTTCTCATTTTCTCATTGGTAAATGAAACTGTTTATTATTGGTGCCGTTCACCTGGAGATTGAACCCAGGGCCTTATTTGTCCTGGGTGTGCTATCACTGAGCTACACTGTGTCTAAACAGGGACTTTTTTTGAGACAGGGTTTCTCTGTGTAGCTTTGGAGCCTATCCTGGCACTCACTCTGGAGACCAAGCTGACCTCGAACTCACAGAGATCCGCCTGCCTCTACCTCCCGAGTGCTGGAATTAAAGGCGTGTGCCACCAATGCCCAGCTAAACAGGGACTTTTTAAAGTAAAATAATTCGCTTAACTTTATTTCATGTGCAATGCAATTGTGAGCTGCCATGTGGGTGCTGGGAATTGAACTCAAGTTCTCTGGGAGAACAGCCATGCTCTTAACCACTAAGCTATCTCTCCAGCCCCCCCCCCATAGGAATTTTAATAGCACATACGTCTTAGGCTTGTGGAGATAATTTAAAAAGTCAATAAAATTGATTCTAATGTTATGTGACATAAACTGTCATGTAAGTGATAATATGATTGTGATCTTTACCTCTTCCAGCCAGCTCCTCTCTACAAATCATTTCTTGGAATATCGAACTCAGAGTCCTTGGTTAAGCCTTGACTGGATCCAGGGGTGGGGGTATTTAAATGCTCAGTGTTTGGATCTGAGTGTGTTTCTCTGTAGCCCTCTCCCAGGGACTGGGCTGTGTCTCAATCTGTAATTGGCCTGCTAGCTAGGAGGAGAAGAGGTAAGATCTGAAAGCAAGGGTTTCCAGAAAAAGCATGATGTTAGTACAACTTCAAAACACCCTAGGAGTGGGTGGGCCCTGCACTTTCCTTCCTGTGTGCTTTCTCCAATCTTTTTTTTCTATACTCCAGGGGCAAGTGGCCCTGCCTCCTACTTCACTCAGTCCCCACTGGCTCTCCAGGAGGGCTCCCTCCCAAGCAGCTTGTCCTAAGCCTGGGGGCCTTGCTCCTTGTACCCCTTTCTGCAAATTTTGTTGTGGGCTAAGTATGAAGATGATAGCCTTCTGCTTCTTACAAGTGTGTGTGTGTGTGTGTGTGTGTGTGTGTGTGTGTGTGTGTGTTCTGTTTGTGTGGAAAATACAAGCAATTCTTTAAAAAGCCACACTGAATTCAATAATTTGTTCTTTGCTTCCTCTCTCATCTTTTCTCTTTTGCTCTCAGTAAAGATTCCAAGTTTAACTACTTTGGACTTGAAGGAGGTCTGGGAGTATTTTTGATATTTCAAGGGGAAACTGTTGTGTCCTGAAGCCCATGGGGACTCTGGAAGCTACACAGAGCCCTCTGTCTCTCAGTTTTCTGGTCTGTTTAATGGAGCTAAACCATGACTGCCTTTTTATAAGGAAACACAGTTTTGCCTTCAGGAGGGTTACAGAGCAGAGCTCTTATGATCATGGCAGGGGGACTGCCAGGGAGATTGATGAGACAGTAGATCAGAGGTCAGGCAGCAAGTTGCCAAGCCCAGAACTGAAGGATTACTGCTTCAGCTCGAATTGTTTTTCCCCCCTTGGTCTGGGTCTGATGGGACCAGTGGAGCCTAGAACTTCAAAAGCCATGAAAGACCACCAGTGATGTTTTTCTGCCTTTCTCTACCCTGGTTGCTTTTGTGTGGAGCAACAATAACAAAGAGTTGCTCTTCTGTGTGAACAACAAACCCCTAAAGTTCCTCTTATCTGGTCTAGTAACCACTGTGGCCTCCTAGGTTGCAGTTGTTTGTCTCTGTTTTGGGGGGGTTGCCTAGGGAACAAAGTTGTTCTCTTTACCACTAAGTGACTGTGGGACAAGTTTTTTTCCCCTTTCTTGTACAGAACGTGTTTGTTGACCAGAGGGTTTGATGGGCTGCTTTCTGCCCCTCCTCATTCCCGCTCCCCCTCAGACCTCTTCCTTTCCTCATGCCCCCCTCCCCTTTTTGAGACAATGTCTCAAGCAGCCTAGATTGACCTTGAATTTATCTGCCTGCTTCCATCTCTCAGGTCCTGAGATTATATCAAACATACCATACTCATTTCACCCACCTGTCCCCACCCCTATCCCCAGTCTTTATAATACCATGGATCAAACTTTCCTTTATTCATCTGTTCTTTTTCAGCTAGAAAACAGGAGTGTGAAGTCTATAGGTGTACTTAATAGTTTAAAGGTGCCTCAGCTTGTTTTACAGGGAAAGGGCTTGAGGATGAGGATTGAGAAAGTCAGGTCAGATGAGGGAGGGGTGCTTGAGAGCTGAAATGGCAATAGTCCTCAGTTTGTTTCTATGCCAGCAGCTGTGTATTCAGCACATCATGGCCAAATTGACAGGTGTACACGATGAATTTGGCATCCTGAGTAGCAAGGTCGAAATTAGGTATGGAAATTGGGGCTCAGGAGGCAAGCAAGCAGAGATATGTAATGTTAGGAAAATGTTTTTTGACAATTGGAAAAGAACGGGCTAATATGTATAAATCTGACAAAGAAAGCATGTCCTTTTAATTTAATTTAGGTAGTAATTGGGCCAAGTCATCTTGGTCACCTTTGAGGTTTATGACTTAGGAAAACTGAAATTCTGTTCAATTGCATGTGTGTAAGTAATAGCTGTGTGTTCTACAGGAAGCCCAGATGAAATGAAATGACTGACATAGGGGTGACTCCCTTGGGAACACAGTAGGCTCAGAATTGGGCCAGAATTAAGTCCAGTTGAGGGTGCAGCAGAAGAGACACTAAATGTTCTTCAATAGTCAGTCAGACAAACTGCAGAGAAATGTGGACAGGGGAGGGCAGTAGTAAGTAGCCCTCAAGAGGTGCAGAGGGAAGCTCAAATATATTTTTCCCACACCGCTGGTGGATGTTGTGAGAGAACTCCTAGGACTGGTGGAGAAGCAGGAATTGAAGTCATCTTTCTTTGAGTGGGGTGGGGAATGCAGACTAAAAGAATGTGCTTTGCCACCTCACACAGTCTCCTTTTTCTCACCAAAATACTTTTATTTTGTCAAGGTCAAGGGTTCCAAGTGGATTTTTAGAATGCACTATGCAGCAGGAAGAGACCCAACTATGTTATGTTAACTCAGCTCATCTCTTGTTCCTTCAGAAATATACCTTACCTGTGGCATTCTTGGGGGTATTTTTCCAAATTTCATCTCAAGCTCAAGTTGGGTGTTAATAGTCATTCATTCTGTAGCTTTCATATAAAAGAGCAGGATGGAGTAGGAAGGTTGAGTCCAAATTTTTGTAAGAGCTGTGTGACTTTGGACAAGTTACATGAACTTGCTGAGTCTCAGCTTCCTTGTGTGGACAGAGAGGTGTAAGAGCACAAGCATATTCTTCATAAAGAATATGTGGATGACACACCCTCATGGATACAGCAGAGGTCTGACCCTACCCAGGTATTCAACAAATATTGACCACACTATCAAAACATTTTTGCCTCTATCAAGTGCCCACCCAGTCGACATATACAGACACCAAGTTTATTTTTAGAAAAAAGAGCAAAGTTTATTGAAATTTGAAGCTACATCTGAAAAATCAAAATCCAAATCCTGAAGACATATAGCAGGATAAGGTGTCAGAAAGTGGAAAGTGTTCACTGTCACAGAACCACCTTACACAAACTTGCTGGGTGCATCTCCCAGCCCCCCAAGGGATCAAAACTACTTATTCCTCTTGTCCACCACAAGACTCCATCCTTTGATTAATCCCAAAGTTTCCCACAAAAATAAAAAATAAAAACAAAAAACCCAAAACAAAACAAAAACAGTAACAAAAACAAACAAAAAACTTCTCAAAAATGTGAAGTCCAAGCTGATCATCTTTCAACCCCATTCTATGTAGTCAGCACCAATGAATGGTGGGTTTGGCATTCAAAAGAGGACTTCACGTGTCTTCAGTGGACAGATGAGGGAGGGTTGCAGCAGCAAGGCATCCGTGGCCGCATTGTGAGGCTGGTCCCCCTCTCCCTCCCTCATATCTTGAGTCTTAGTTAAACTACATGACAAAGTGGATCAATTTGGTAAATTAGCACAGTCAAAAAATTAGCTTTAAGAGATAAGGGACCAGTCAGTACTCCCAAAGCTGATTAGGCCTTTCAACATGTAGGTGTATGTGTATATGTATACATCACTACACTAAGATATAGATCTAGCCCTATGGGTATATATATGCATTTATGGCTATATAGAAAAACTATGCCAATACTAACCAAACAGAACTTTGTAAGCGGTCATCCCAAAGCTGTAATCCCACACTGGGCTGTGCACAAAGCCATGCATTATACCATATAAACCAATAGAAGGCTGACTTGGCTCAATCTCTCCCATCTCTGCTCCTGCCTCGGCAAGACAGAGGAGAAGAGAGAGGTTGCCTCTGCTTAAAACACAAATGGCTTCTTCATACAACAGTCGTCAGATGAAGCGGTGGAAGATGTCCATGGAAATGAAAAACAGACCCCTTATACTTTCTGGAGCACACTGGCATTACGTCTCAAACTACTTTCTCCTTTGTCAGCTGTAACTAAGTTGCCCAGGCCCTGGAAGCCCCCAGACCCTGTAGCTACTAGACCCATGCAACTCAGTTTCCAGAGACCTGCTCTCTGTCAGGGGTCTGTCACTGGAGTGGACCCAGATGGCCATGTCCTTGGTACATCTCTTGGCACCAGCTATGTTAGGTGTAAAGTTCTCCACATGAGATGACGCTTGGGGAGCCAAAAAACAAACTGGAAAGAACTAGAAAGAACAAGTTGTGGCTCTGCCCACCCTGAGGACAGAGCCACTTACACTGCAGAGCCACCAGGGGCTTCTGGGGTTTCTGGGGCTTCAGGTGCTGGCTCTTCAGGGCTCAGCCGGGACTGGAACTTTTCCAGCTGCTCCGGGCTTGCCAGGGTCTTCAGGAGGGTATTCTCACGCTCCAGCTGGGAGTTCTTCTCTACCAGCTCACGGATCTGCTCCTTTAGGATCTCCACCTCCTCTCTCACAGCGTACATCAGATGATTCTTCACTAGATCCTGTCATGAACAAAGCTATTTGTTAGCCATCATAGCCCCGCAGCAGCACCGTCATCCTGCCATCAAGCTGCTGCACTGGCTTTTATGCCACCATCATGCAACCCTCACACACCATGTTGTGATGAAGCTGAATTCTTTACCACCCGTTCTCTGACACACAAGATTCTTGTTCAGGAGAGTTGCAGGACTTGGGCCCTGCCAGGGTTGGGAGCCCAACTTGGTTGCAGATCCTCCAAATGACTAATGACTTGCAAGTCTGACTAGGTTAAGACCTCTCTTAGTTTGTCCTGATGCTGGCACAAATCTGGGGGAAGCCTACAGTGCACCCCATATTGTTGATCTGCTTTATAAACATTCGACAATACTATGAAATTATCTCCTAAAGATGCCACCTATTGTGGCATTTTCTCCCCTGCACATAAACCAATACACTGAGTCAGCTGTCTAGCAGACTCATGACCCTTGCTCTGGGGAAGGGGCAGAGCTTGCTACACCCTTTGAATTTCTCAAGGGATCGGGAACTATGACATTAAGCCACAGCACAATTGAGGAGCTTATCATGCAAGAAGTCCCAAAACTCTGCAGCATTTTGGCTGTTTGGCAGAGTGTGACTTCTACGTAGTAAGAAGCAGGCCAGCAAAAGGGTGGGGTGATTTGCTTTCCGTTTCCTCCCACTCCTGACCCTAGCCCAGGATCTGCAGAGGCACTGCAGTGCAACTGCATCCAATGAACTCGGGCCCCTGCCAACTGCAGGAGATGGACAAATCCAAGAGTCACAGCTCTCACCTTGCACCATTCAGGGGGGAGCCAGAGGCTGCTGCAAAGCCCTGGGATGGAGGAGTTCAAAGGGAGGTAGTGTAGCAAGCGCTAACTGGGAATGTCCTAAAAGGCAACCCAACTCACTAGTTGTACTCTGAAGTCTCCAAAGGAAGATGGGAAGCTGGCAGTTATTCCCCATAGGGTACCGGCTAAACGCTTTTCCTTCCACCCCCTCAGACCTGCCCAGAGTTACATAAGCTGCAGCTAAGTCAGGGGATGGTAATGACGCAGTGATGCCACTCACCATGGCCTGCTCAATCTTGTTGTCTAGGGCCACCACGCTGGCTCCGGATGCACTGCCAAGACAAAAAGCAAAACCACCCATCACTCACTCTTTAAGTCCAAGGCAGCTGTGGCCGAAGTCTTCCATCTGCCTAGGGTCTTCCTCTCTCTTGTCTCCCTGTCCTGAGTTCCAGGCACTTTAGTGTTTAGGTCCGTCTCCAACCCCTGCAGGAAGCTGCACTTTCTAACCCCACTAGCCTTGGTGGGGAACCGCCCCGAGTTCCAACGGATTGGAACCCTGAATAGTTTCTGAGGCACACAGGCCTGA